CTGTGAGAAGGCCATGGGCAAGGGACCATAGGCAGCCTCCAGGAAATGAGTGGTCTCAAAATGACAGCCAAGAAGAGAGTGGGGAATCTCAGAAATACAACACAGGGATATGAATTCAACCAACAAACATGTGTGCTGGGAAGAGGATCCCAGAATCCAGAAAGAAATGCAGCCTAATCAACACCTTGATTGTAGTTTTGTAAAATTCCCTCCACAAGACCCAGTTAACTTGCTTCTGGACTCCTGATCCTCAAAACTGTGACATGATGAATGAATTTTTGAGCCTCTAAATATGTGATATTTTGTTACACATAATTAAAAAACCAATACAGACATCCTTCGTTTTCAGGTAGAAAGGATATTAACACTTAGCATTTTTAGGGAAAAATGATGTTACCAAGCATTAAAGTGATACCTTAAAGATATATTTGAATCTAATGGTTACTTTGATCTATTATAATTCAAAGAAGTGAAAGAAAAAGAAGCAGGGAAGGATTTGGGACAGGAAGGCACCAGGTGTCCAAAGCAAATAGATCTAACTTCTTTTAACTTCCATGTCTTACCTTAAACAATGGGAAGAATATGCTGTAAATTATTAACTAATGAAAGTAAATGTCAAAGAGGCATAGCCATATTAAAACTTAATGCCCCAGAAGACCATTCATGATCACCTAAAACTGAACTGAAGTTAGGCTTGATTTTGAACGAGAGCAACAAATCAAGTTTATGAATCATGTATATGGATATTTATCGGACATTCCAGGTCAGCAGTTATCAAATGTGACTTTCTGTTAGCTCTCTATTAAATGTGATTTTTTTTTCAATTAAGAAGTTTAGAAAAAAAAATATTGAGCATCACCGCAGATTTAACTGAGTAAGAATCATCAGAAGTAAGATCTCTTACCCACCTGCACACACATCTTTCAAAGGGTGGAAACCCACCAAAGACATCATTAAGTCCCAACATAGCCAGTCTAACCACTGGTATTCAAGACTATAGGACTCATCACAATTAGGTCAATTCTTTTTGTGACAGAACCACCTTATGACTAGGATTTTATGCATCTAGTTCATTGGCTGTCAATCTTAGCTGCACATTATAATTAGCTGGAGAGCTTTATAAATCCTGATGCTCAAACTTCTTCCCAGAGCAATTACATCAGAATCACCAAGCATGGTACCAACAAATTTGTAACTTTTAAAGGTCCTGGCATGGTTGCAACATGTAGTTAAGTTTGAGACTGCTGACATGTAGAGAATACCTTGTATATGTCAGCATCCTTTCTAATACATAGTAATGTAGCTCGAAATCCAGCACAATGTGTGGGAGTATGTAAGCCGTTCATGACTGGCCACTTAGATGGAACACAAAACAGAGTTTGACTATTTGGAGAGTACTATTTTAACTCCTTTTTATTGAACTTCATGTTTATTATCTTAACTCTCAAAAACAAACAGACAAAACTCAGCCAAAACAAAACAAAACTCAGGCAATGTAGGTATCAATATCCCAATTTGTAGAGATAAGGAGACACGGCCTACTGATTCAGAGAGAGCTGCCTAAACAAGTAAGATATGGACCTGAAAAAAAAAAAAAAAAAAGATATGACCTGAGTCCGAGTGACCCAAAGCTTATGATATCTTCACAGTGACTCTTAAAGTGTCTTAATTAAAGATTAATTAAAGGTTCTTTAATTAATTCTTTAAATTGTCTTAATTAAAGATTCTTAAAGTCATCCCCAGACCAGCAGCAATAGCATCACCTGGGAAATTATGAGAAATGCAAATTCTTCACCCCAATCTCAGACCAACTAAATCATAATCTTTGAGGCTGGAGCCCAGCAATCTGGGCTTTAGCAAGCCTTCAGTTGATTCCAAGGCACATTCAAGATGGAGAAACAATATGCTATATGCCCCATTTCCATCAGCTGCCTACTTTTGGAGATTCAATTCAGCAGGTGGTAAGAGAAATAAAAATCTGGGGGTGAATCAGTGGGAAAAACAGAGTGACAGGCTGAGAAATTTTCTCTACTATCTTACCTTTCTCTCACTCCCCATTTTTTTTTTTTTAAGATTTTATTTATTTATTTGACAGACGGAGATCCCAAGTAGGCAGAGAGACAGGCAGAGAGAGGAGGAAGCAGGCTCCCTGCTAGCAGAGAGCCCGATACAGGACTTGATCCCAGGATCCTGAGATCATGACCTGAGTTGAATGCAGAGGCTTTAACCCACTGAGCCACCCAGGCACCCCTCACTCCCCATTTTTATTAATAATCTGTGTTGGAAATGAGGAAATGTTATCAGGGATATAGCACTGGGAAAAGATTAGGGGGCTCTGGCAATCTTTACTAACAGGGGTGATTTGTCATGGTGAGCCTTTTTTATGTAAGTATGACTGTCTTAAGATGTAGGTAACTAGTTAATCCTTTTAATAAAAATATAAGGAGCTTTAAAAGGTTCCATTAAAAATAACCCAATTGGCTCCATGGAAATGATTTTTTGATCTTAAGAGCATGAGGTAATTGGTGTTCAGGAAACCAAGAGTAGTTGGTTTGCATTCTCAGAGGCTAAGCTGGTTCAGATTGCTGGCATCCTGTTAAACATGAGTGCCACTGCCCTGCTTTCATGCCTCTCTTGATATATTTCATGGTATATTTATTAGAGTTGGACATTTGACTAGGGGAAGACAACCCCAAATGAAAAGAATAGTTATCTTTGATTTATCAGAGACATCAATTAATATTTTCTGAGCAAACTTTGGATGGCTTTCTTAGAAAGGAGTATGTGAATATGCTTTGGGCACATTCGGGTCTGATGGACATTGATCTCCTGGCAGGATGTGGGGGATAGAGAAATTAATGCAGAGAGCAGAGAAATAGAGAAAGAGAAAGGAAAGGGGGGAAGTGAAAGAAAAGAGACAAGAATTGACAAGGAGAAGAAACAGAGGAGGTAGAAAGGAGGCAGAAAGCACAGGAAGAGGAAATAGAGTGAGTATCAGAAGGTAGGAAAGGGGGAAAGAGAAGGGTCCTGGAAAAGAAGGAGGAAGGGAGAAGAGGAAGAAAAGAGGACAAGTAAGCAAAGACAAAAATAAAAGAGAGCAACAAGAATGAAGGACAATAAAAGACAAAATAAACAAATGCAGACGTCAGAACCCAGGCAATTTCTGTGAAGTGCTGCTTGGAGAAGACCAGCCTGCAGAGATGCTGCCTCTGGGGGTTGATGATGGCAGTAATCCTGATTTCAATTTGCAAAAAATGGTATGAAAGGCAGCCTGACTCCAAATGGAGAGACCTTCAGTCACAGCAGTGGAGTGATAACGTAGCAGGGATGATAAGAGGTTGGATTAAATTCTCCTTTATTAGACAACCATTTTGTATCTGATTGTTGCTGCCAGTGGTCATTCCAGCTGGTGTTTGCTAAGTGTTTGCTTTCTCTGCACACTGGGCATCATAGACATAACTAATAATTCTCTAGCCTCATTTCCAAAGCTCTTTCTCTTCATGCATGTTTGTTTACACGTGTCATCTTGATAGATTGAACATCACGATTCCTTTTAATGAGAATCCTGTTTGTGTGGGGCAAGTGTCCATCTCCATGACATCTCCCTTCTCTCCACCCAGTCTACCCCCACCAAGGCCTGGGTATTAGCAGAGTACCAGGTTTTCAGAGTAGTAATAGGGAGAGAAAAATTTAGAAAGTCCAGGCCAGGAGACTGGTGAGAGCAGAAATGGGGTGGAAAGACCCCATGGAGTCAAAGAGATGGTGGGAGGTGGTGTGCAATATGCACGTTGGAACCCTATAAAAATATTCTGAAAAGTCAACTAGTGTTAGGTATTCTCTGAGTAAACTTTTGTGTGGATCCCCATGGAAGAGGCAGAGTTTCTCATTTGGTCTGCGTGAGGTTGCAACAAGGTAGCAGTTGAGATGGTCAGATTTGAAGAGGCTGGGATTAGCAGAACTCTTTGAACACTATAGAGTCTACAGATCATGGAACGAGGGGGAAAGATTTTAGGAATCAGTGCAATTTATTTTGGATCACAAGGGGCACTGTTAGTGTAGCTACCAGGTTTACAAATGTGTAAGAACATAATACATATAGGCCTATGTATGCCATTTGATGCACAATCATGTGACACTTTTAAGGATGAAATGCCTTTTTTTTTTAAAGTAGGCACCATGCCCAACATGGGGCTTGAACTCACAGCCCTGAGATTTAGTCACATGCTCTACGTACTGAGCCAGCCAGGCGCCCCAGGGATGAATTGTTTTCAAATAAATTCATGACAAGTCTGTCCCTATATAGGCCAGAAGCTCCTTGAATATCTTCTCTGGCTTTTGAATAACCTACAAAATCTAGCTTAATACTAAACACATACGAAGAGTGTGTCCCTGATCAATTGTCTGAACCATGGTTGTCTCTCACCCTCATCCTCTGGTATGCACGAACTATCACTCCTTTTGAAGATGATTCACTCAGGAAGGAGAATCATAGGTTCACCTGGTTTACAAAGACTAGATGTAAGGACTATCTACCTCAATCACTTGTGTTTAGAGTCATTGGTAGCATGTTTTCTTTAGAAACTTAGAGTGACTTTTCTCCAATGCTAGGAGTGGTGTTCTTTGATGGGCCTTAATCTATAGTCAAGATACAAGTCAAACATAAGACTATTGTTCAGTAATGAAGAAAGAATTGAAGCTTACTGAAACAATGTCATTATAGCCAAAACCAACCAAACAATACATACAAAGAACAAAATTGAGTATGCCTTTTTTCTGTACTTATCATTGTTTAACGTACACCCACATTGTATGAGCACTGGTGTGCCAAAGGCACTCAAAGTCTAAATGGATATCGATGATATCCACATGTAGGAAAGATCCATATGAAATGTGCATATGATGGGGCCCTCACAGAACCATCTATTTTCCCTTCTTCCCTCTCACTTCTCAATGTTCTGATGAGAACAGCGTGAAGGTAAAGTCAAAAAGGAAGTTCTTACATTCTTAAATCCTCTGTAAAGAATCTGGAGTTCCTTCTTCGTAAATTTGCTCTGGGCTTCCAGAAGCTCCAGAGCCTCAGGCCGATGCCGGACGGTGGCCATCTCCAGTTCATCTTCCACGCTGTCTGTGGAGAAGAACCAAAAAGAGGCTTAAGAGCAGCCACAGGTCACTGATGCTTATACACAACAACAGGAAAGCAATGAAACGTTTACTGGATATTGGTGATTTTTCCAGAGGAAGGAATCTGATACCACCTTAAGCAGTCTTTACATTTCCCAGAGTTTACATAACTAAGCGAAGACAATTCCACATAATCTTTTCCTCCCACAAACTCTAATCACTAGATATTATAAAATTAGCATTTTAAAAATGCAGTTTGAAGAGTGCACAAAATCATGAATAACCTTAAAACCTGGAATTGGTGTACATATACCAAGTATGAGTTAGAAAAATGGAACTGCAGTTTAATGACAATTAGTACTACCCTGTGTATCACACAACTAGGAGGTAGGACTCTGCTAATACTCTCTGAGGAGTCCACTGAAATCAAATATTTGGCCTGGGCCTACAAATAAAGCAGCTAGGTCAGGTGTTGAAGTGAGTAATCAGTAGCTGATTTGACTGGCATAAACCCAGTCTTCACGGGGACGCTCTGGATGGACTGGGCCTGGGGACATTTCTGGCTAGAACCTACTCTGCAGCAAAGAGTGTCTATAGCTACAGATAAATTCTAAAACATTGTACTTTCCTTTGTGAGTCATATTTACACTTTAATTTCTCAAATGTGCTCTATGTGAAAAGAATTTGATATCCATATAAATTTGGGAAATGCTAACATAGTTTGGGACCAAAACTAGAAATTAAAGGTTTCCAGAGGATTTGCAACAAACAATTCTGCGTAACTTTGTTTAACCCAATTGACCTCATAGGGTGTTTGTCCAAGGAACTCTTTCTCCCCTCATCTGGTGGTCTCTACGTATTTGCTCTGGGGTTCTATAAAGCACAGCTGGGAGCTTGTTGGAATGTATTAGGATCTGGCTGCTCAGGTCTCAAAATATAGCATCCTTTATTAATTTCAGCTTTTTTTTTTTTGCAGTGGGGCCCAGTGGAGGCCTAAGAAATTCTTCTTGCCATCAGCCAATCCACACCTTGGTTAAGGAACTCGCCAGAAATAGAAGCATCCAGGCCCAGCCCTGAAGCCATGGTTTGCTAATTTCCATTATACTCCTTCCTCTTAGATACAGATTTCTAACTCAGATACATGAGTCTCAGAAGAGCTTTTTCTCATCATCTCTGCACCCAGGGCATACCAATGCCATGTCTCATGTATCAATTGGAAATACAGTTGCCAAAAGTCACATCATTCTGATACTCAGGGCTACCTTTCACTAACACCTGTATCTACTTCCTGCCCTGTCCCACTAAGTGCAGTGATGGGCCAGAGTTCTCACAGAGCAGGAGTTAAAAAGTTTCTGCAGAACCCTAATCCAGGGATGTCCTAATGACTGCCTTCAAGTTTACAAAAGACCAATAATGGCAATGAAACAGGTGCTTGGAAGGGTTGTGTTTGTCAAAATGGGGAAGAGGTTAAAAGCAGAGATTTGTTTTGTATTTTTCATATAATAATAGTTTATTTTGGAACAGCAAGATGGAAAACTGCAGGATAGTGATGGATGGATAAGAATAATAAAAGGGACATGAGAAGATGAGAAGGCCAAGAATAAACTCAAGCTGACAAGCATAAAATTGATGCGAAAGTAAGCGAGATATGCACCTGAAGGATGTGTAGAGGCCTACGGGTAGCTGGGGAAATGGCAACTACGCATTCACAAATTGACCTCTGGTTGGACTTTATGGGGAAAATCAAAAAAGCCCAAATGAGGCTCCTTCAATTTTCTCCTTCATTCACTGGAACATTTGAGTAAAATGGGTTGATTGTACTCAATAAGTCCTGAGCTTAGAAAGGAGGTGCTCCCTAAAATTGCTCTTGATCCAATGAATTGGACTGTGCTGTTGTTATTGTAGTTGCTAAGGCAGAAATAAATGCTCTGGAACAGACCTGATGTAAATAGATAATACCAGATAAAAAGACTCTGCTTTCTTGAAAAATATTTTCACATAAGTTTCTTTTGAGTTGATTACAGTATAATTCCCTCAGCTTAAAATATTCCTCTCTCTTTTTTCTACCTGTTGAAATGTATATATCTCTTATGATCTAATTTAAATATTACTGCCTCCTCTCTGAAGCCTTTCCAGATTGCTCCACTGTGCAGAACTGGTAGCTCCCTGGACAGAGTTCTCACACACTACCTACCTCTCATGAAGTATGCAAAACATAACTTTATGACCTGTTCATGCCTGCCTTCTCCATTGTGAGTTCCTTGAAGACACAGGCAAAGTCTTGTTGATATATATCTATATCTATATCGATATAGATATCGATATAGATATAGATATATCCTCTGGACCTAACAGAGTCTGGAACCCCAGTCACTCAAGAATTATTTGGTGTGGGGCACCTGGGTGGCTAAGTGGGTTAAGCCTCTGCCTTCAGCTCAGGTCATGATCTCAAGGTCCTGGGATTAAGCCCCACATCAAGCTCTCTGCCCAGCAGGGAGTCTGCTCCCCCACCCCCTGCCTTCCTCTCTGACTACTTATGATCTCTCTCTCTATGTCATATAAATAAATAAAAAAAATCTTTATTAAAAAAAGAATTTTTTGGTGTATGAATGAATGAATGGATGGATGAATCAGTAAACAAATGATGTTGCTACTAAAGGAGCAAGGAACCCCTTGAACCTTAGTTGTCCTCTAGAAACTTATTTCTCAAATTGAGGTTTGTGGATCATTGGTGGACCTTAAATGCTTTCTTTGGATTCACATTCTCCATGCCTTGTTCTGAGAAACACAGCAAAAGCAAAACAGAGGAAATTTTAATCAGATTTTCTGAGTAGTCTTTCAATCATAGCACAACCTTCTCTAGACCCAGTGACCCTTCCACTGGAAAGAAACAAAACAGCACATTCACTCCTTGCCTCTGTAACCACACAGCATTCTGAACCACAGCACCAACACACTTTCTTCCACTAGCTGTCACAGACTTGCTGAGGCTGAGTCTGAGACAAAAGACCTGGACCCAGAGGGTCAGTGTAATTGAATTAAGACTGTGATGGGATGAGCATCATGAGCAATACTCAAAGCACCACACTTGAAGCATCTACCTGAGGACTCTTGTTTTTCCAGTTGACTAGTACCTTACTTCCTAATGACTCCTACCTGCCAAAGGGCCGTTTCTATTTCTAGGAGGCTGACAGGCTCTAAAAACCTGAAATCATCAGCAATCACCAGCAGACATTAAAAAAAGCAATACCACCGAACCCAATCAAGACTGATTCCTGGAGGCAAACTCTGGAGAGCACAGCATGATTCTGCACAGGATTGAAATTCACGAGTTGACTCAGCCACCTTTCAGGAGCACGCATTTAGGGGGATTTTATTTTAAAGATTGTTAATGTATTTATTTATTTGAGAGAGAGAGAGAGAGCATGGGGAGATGGAGGGGCAGAGGGAGAAGCAGACTCCCTCCTGAGCAGGGAGCCTGAGTGTGAGGTTCCATTCCATGACCCTGAGAGCATGACCTCAGCCAAAGGCAGACATGTAACTGACTGAGCCACCCAGGTGCTCTCTGGGGGGATTTTAATACAGTGCTTAACATTTATTGAGCCCTTACTGTATGCTGGGAGATAGGCTAGGTGCTCTACTGATATAATTCCAGTCTTCACAGTAATTCCACAATGAGGTATAATTGTCTTTTTCTTTACACATGTGATAATCAATCTTATTGAGGTGAAGATAGGAGTGACCAGATGTCACACAGGAGAAAGACAGAGACAGGGATTCACACCCAAGTCTCTGATGCCAAGCCTTATGTTCTCTCTACTTTGCCACATTTTGTCTCAACACCAACAGAAATGAGAATGTTAAAAATAACATATTGAATCTCCTCTCCTTTTCTGCATTTTCAAATGTCTCAGAAAAGTTGACTAGATCCACTGGGTCCATTTTCTATCTCCTGCTTCCTCCTTAATCTCCTACAATCTGACTTCTGGCACCATTATGGGTGGAATTGTACCACCTTAAAATTTGTATGTTGAGGGCTTAACCTCCAGTATGGCTGTATACAGCTTTTAAGGAGTTAATTAACATTAAATGATGTTATCCAATATAATTGTCCTAATCCAATATAACTGTTATCTTTATAAGAAGAGAGAGCGACACCAAGGATACACACACAGAGAGGAAAGGCCATGTATAAGCATAGCAAGAAAGCAGCCATCATAAACCAATGGGAGAGAGGTCAATAGAAACCAATCCATCTTGATTTGGGGCTTCCAGAACTGTGAGAAAATAAATTTGCTGTTCAAGCCATCTAGCCAGTGGCATTTTGTTATGGTAGCCCTAGTAAATAGATACATCCACCTATATTCAAATAACACACAACACTCATAAAAGCGAGTCTTGTTGCTCACAGTTTGCCAGTGAACTTTGGACAGTGGGCAAGCCCCTTATACCATTTAATCTTTACAACACAATTCAAGAGAGGGATTTTCATCCCCATTTTAGGGTTGAGAAAATGGAGGTTTGGAAAGTCTAAGTAACTTGTTCAAGGTCAAAGGGCTAGTTAGCAAGGAGGCACACGGGTGTCTTCATCATCCTAAAGTACAATTTTTTAAGCATTCTGATGAGATTGTTAATAAAAATCACCATTGTATGGAGAGCTTTTGCTCTAAGTGTGGCTGGGTATTATCTCTTTCTAATACTGACAAAAATGTTGTGAGAAACCCATTATTGCCCTTATTTTATAAGGAATAACTGGGACTCACAGAGCTTAAATAATCTACTCAAGGTCACATAGCAAGTAAGGGACAGAGCTGGGATTTGATCCCTCGTTTTTTAACACCAAAGAGTAAGAGCTCAGTCAATACGCTATTTTAAGAGATGGTAATACATATATATATATCCAAAATCCTAGGAGGAAAATAGATTTTAGGCTGTCGCTGAACCCCCGTGCCTCAGGGGAACCGTGCCTGCGTGCCTGGGAGAGATCACCGTGGTAGCAGTGCA